AGAGGAGGAGAGGAGAGAGAGGGAGACAGGGGGGGAGGAGAGAGAAAGGGAGAGAGAGAGAGACAGAGAAACAGAGAGTGAGACAGAGAGACACAGAGACAGAGAGAGAAAGAGGTGAGAAAGAGAGACAAAGACAAAGAAAGACACATAGGGAGATAGGCAGAGAGAGAGACAGGAAGACACAAATAAAGAGAAAGAAAGAAAGAAAGCACGGGAGAGCGACATCTGCATTGTGGACTGTCACAGCTTAATTGTTGAAGTTGTTGTCTGCATAGCCTCATGTTGACCCCCCCTTCTTACAGCTGCAAAGCGCATGCTCAGCCTGAGGGAGAAACTGCAGAATCTTCGCCGTGCCTTGGAGGACTGAAGACACGAGCTAAGACGTCTTAACAGGCAGTCAAGACAGGCGCGGAAATGAATATTGCCGACCATAATATCTAGTCTTCACCAAAGCAAAAACATTATGTTTACACTTTGGTTGAATTACAATAAACATTCTTGGTACATTGTAAGTTGGTTAAGTCGCTTGAGGTAAAGTACTCAAGTACTTAAAATGTACCAAGAAGAGTTTATCTTGATTCAACAAAAGATTGATGTAAACATAATGTCATACACATTATACAGGAATATTCATCAAGATCATTCTTATTGTTTTTTTAATAAACAACAATACAGGAAAATGAATCATACAGGAGGAAGAACAGACGTTGAATGACAATCCATACACAAAATGTGTTAGCTTACTTGAGGATTGAGTATATAAAAAAATCTAGAATAAGTTTCGGTGTGGCTTGAATTAAACCTTGCAATAGTTGGGTATATTGGCTAAAACGTTAAGTATAGCAAAATGAGGTGCGTATATGCAGGGACACACACAAACAAACAAACAAACAAACAAACACACACACAATCGTACACACATACAAAGAACGGAATGCACATTAAGTCTAGAAAGGGAAAGACAGAATGTTAAATGTTCATCTGTATTGCTGGAAGTCATTAAAACTGGTGATCGGTTGAAATGCCTGGCTTTGTGTCCTTTATTTGAAACCTGTGTCAACATAAGACTGCAGGGCAGTGACAGGCTTACTGAAGTGATTAATAAGCTTAAGCCAACTGGTAATTATAGGTAATTATACAACTCACCTGACCCTCCATCTGGTACTTGATATCCTACAATGAGCAGTTGGTTTCGTAACGTTTATTAATAAGGAAAGATGCCGTCTTTCAGAGTGCAAGGACAGTCACTTAAACGTTAACCTTAAAGTTAAAATTTATGTTTACCGAATCGAAGGAAAACATATTGTTTTTGCTCTGTTTCTTCTTCGTCTTCTGTTTCAAACACTAACCTCTGACCTGGTCAATGACCAGATTTGTTGACGTCTGTCACCATGGTAACTGGTGTTGGGTTAGATAATGTTGCAATTTTATAGTAAGAGGAATTTAAACTCCTGTCACCATATATGTGAATGTGTTGGAGTAAGAATTAACAGAGAAGACCATATGCGATGGTAAACGTTACCTTTCTAGCTGAGGATTTTTTCTTGGTTTGTTTACTACTTGTAGCAACAAGAAAAGAATGCAATGTCCGGAGGCAATACGTCGATAAAGGCTAGACATCCAGGTAATACGATACGCCAAAAAGCAGTTACTCAAGCAACTGGATATGATTTGGGAAACGGTCAGACGTTTCAGCTAGTATCCACTAGCTTTCGTCAGTGACTGAGAGACCAGAGGAGAAATAAATCCAGGTTTATAAGCAAAAACTATTGATTGAATTAGGACAATCACTTAGAGTTTAAAGTGTATTTGAGGAATTTTTCTTGGTTTGTTGAGTAAGTGTAGCAAGGGGGAAAAGAATGCAGCGTCCGGAGGCAATCTTTAATTACTTTAATTATCGGACAAAAAACCGGTCGTACTCTTTTGATGGGTAGACATCATCGGATGATTCCTATAGTCCCGCCTACCTCGACAAAAATATAAAAAGGCAAATATTTAACAGACATAAAGCCACTCTCTTATTGGTCGAACGGCTAATTGTCAAGTTGTGATTGGTTGAAGATGAGCTCATAATTGAGATTGACAACCAGTCAGGAAAGGTCCGTTTTAACAACTCGAGAGTATATCTGACGCGCTGAGGCTAAGAACGGCTCATTTGTGCTGCTGACTGTCTGCACGCTGCGTCTCGTCTTGGGTGAGTAGGTTTTTTCTTCATTTTTTTTTTATAGAAAAAAGCGATGCCTATATTGTTAGTCTATGCCTATTGTTCATTCACTGACGAAAGGTAGTGAATACTAGTTGAAACGTCTGACCGTTTCCAAAATCATATCCAATTGCTTGAGTAACTGATTTTTGGCGTATTGTATTACCTGGATGTCTAACCTTCATCAACGTGCCTACATTGTTACTTTAATTACTAAATAGTCAAACAAGTAAGAAGTCACCATCAACTATGGACTGTGTGGTTTTAGGAAACGAAAAATGGTTGTGTTCCGCTTTGACCATGTACCAGGTAAATGCGTGCCCGAAATTAGCCAGAGAGGTAGGAACTCATTAATTGAAACTGCACCGAAGTATCATATTGTTTCACAATGAGATAACGTTTTTAGATTAGCAAGATGATTGTGCGTTATGTGAAGACAAGCGATTTACAAAAAGTGAAAGTCGAAAAGGAAACAAAAGTTAGACAAGTCAAGATAAGGACGTTGCAAATTAGTCAAATAGTTTGAGCTTCCAGGCGTAACCCTGGGGTCGTGTGGCGCAACGGCAGCGTGCGCGACTCGGAATCAAGAGGTCCCGGGTTCGAGTCCTGACATGCCACCGATCTTGTGCCCTTTAGAAGGCACTTTACACGACTTCCCCCACTAGACTCAAGTGAAAATGAGTATTGTCTGTCCAGTATTCGTTTGTATGTGCGGGACACAACACCAGCAACAGCTGCCTCTGTTCCGCGTGTATTGCACTGTTGCAATTTCAATAAATCAAGTGAAAACCTTGTCAAACCAAGTAGTTGCTATCTTCATATGATTTAAAAGTAAAGCCCTACAGTTTCTCACAGACATTTGTAAGGCTAACATGGTATTTTCCATGCTGGTAACAGGAATTTTAGAGTATACAATAATTTACCTATAAATCTTCTACTTAGTGGAAAAACCAGTCGAGTCACCAGGCTTATTCACTTGTTCATCTGTGTAAAAAATCTTGTTAAATCTACTTTTGTATCACATTTTTCAGCCTAAAACATAGCGTTAAACAATATAAACTTTATAAAAATTGTTATGGACGTTTAGCTTAGTCATGTGGTGCTTTCTGCATAGCCAAGACTGTACCTTTGCTACCATAAGCTCGGCTGTTGGAAAGTGAAAAGGCATAAATCTTCTTCTGATTAAGTGAAAAGGCCAGTCGAGTGACCCGGCTTGTTCACATGTTCATCTGTGTAAAAAATCTTGTTAAATCTACTTTTGTATCACATTTGCCAGCCTAAAACATAGCGTTAAACAATATAAACTTTATAAAAATTGTTATGGACGTTTACCTTAGTCATATGGTGCTTCATATTAAGTTGAATATTGTTCATACCTACTTTTGTATTTTTCCTGTTCGGCCTGTCAGGAAAGTTCTCTGAAGTGTCAGGAATAAAAGAAAGAAATCTTGTTATTCGTACCCAAATTGTGGGGCTATTACAGTATCTCCCTAGTCGCTTTTGATAATGTTACACTTAGTAAAAGCATCTGGACAAAGATGTAACAATTTTGTCCAGATACTGAGATTTCTGACAGAAAAAGGGGCGTTGTAGGCCCATTGTTACATCTTCTGGCCCATAAAAAGTACCAAGGAGGAAACCTGTTTTACCACAGTATCTGTCATAAGGCCGTAGGGTGGTTCTAAATGTTCTTTTGTTTGCATTCAACACTAAATACTTAAACTGAATCCCTACAAAATCACTGTGCTGCTGCTAATTTGACACTGCCTGGCTAGTTTGGTATGTTTGGCCTATTGGATATTGCCTAAAAACGCAGGCTTGGGCTAAAATTTAGTCTTTACCAGACTCCTTTGCAGGCTGAATAAATAGTAAAAATCGGTTAAGGGAAACATCATTGGCCAGAGAAGTTGGCCGGCCAAGCTGGACCCTCTATGGCCGGCCAACTTCTCTGGCCAATGATGTCCCCTTAGCCCATTTCTACTATTTACATGTATTCAAGTTGCAAAGGAGTCTGGTGGAGACTAGCTAAAACTGGCCATACTCTTCAATTTCAGCCAATCTTGGTTGGTTGTTGGTCACAGGAAGGTTCTGTACATGTATGACTACTTCGAAATAAAGAAAAGGGGGCGTTGTCACATTAAGGGAAACCGCGTCGGCTGCCATTAAACGCTCGGTGACCAAGTAGGTCACTGGTACACAAAAGGCGCCTGTTCACGCTGTTTAGTACTGTCGTTTTCGTATTTGCTTGGTACGGCATTTATTGTTGACGGCCTTGTT